GCACGTTTACATATACTTTATTTGCATTTTAATTGTATAATGCATTAACTTTACATATGTAATATTCCTTTATTACTGTGTAAGAATTACAATAATTATGCATGTTAATTTCATGAATATTTAAAATTTATTTCACTTAATAAATAAAAAATATCACGCGTGTATAATTTAGAAAAAAACTAATTCTTTATGTAACTTTGTAGTTAATAATGAACTAGGTCAATATGCAACTTAATATTAGCTTTTCTTATACATTAAATAATATGTAAACATAGAGGCAGCATAATCTATGAGCATAATAAACATATTATTGACATAGTCTGTGTCATACACTTAGACTTTAATTTATTTATCTTATACAGCAATAACGTAGTTAAAAATTCCACAAGGATTTTTATTCTCTGAAAGATAGAAAATTTTGAAAATGGAAAAGTTTCGGTGTCTCAATTCTACTCTAGATATATGTAGATAATATAAACAAAGTAAAATGTAATCTCACAAACAAACATTTTTCTAAGAAATTTTAAGAAAAAAAACCCTACAGTATGGATATGTTCTAATAAAAAAGATATGGTTGATTAACATCAAGATGAAACTAATTTTTTACTTTTAAGGCCTGTGTTAAAACTCAACACTGAAACCTAAAAAATTTTGTGATATAGTTTATTTTTTTGTATTTAATTCTAGTAATTCATTAATAATCTTCATAGGTACCGTAGAACTATACAGGGAAACTCATTTCGGAAAGCTTTTAATTTTAACATTTTTCCTAAACACTTATACATATATACTAAAATGCGATTTTTTATTGTCGTTTTAGCGATTGTTAACACAATTGCAATTTCTTTGCAATTAGAAATCAATATAGATCGGAAGTTTTTCATCTGAACTTCTAAGCTTGCGTCTATCTACCTACATACACCTATGAATATAAAACGAATAATAAATCTACATAAAAAATATTACAATTTAAACTATTTAGCAGATTACGTTTTTAAAACGATATTTCGAAATTAAAAATATTTTTACATAGCTTCATAATGAGTAAATATTTGAAGTATGTATATATATATACACATGCATATACATATATATTATGCGCGGCATAATTTTCAACCGCAATAACAATACGTTAATTATAATGATATTTTGTATTTTGTTTCATTTATTTTTAATTATTAAAAAATATTCAAATTATTCAATTAAGTATTTTTATCTTCTAAGAATTTTTCATTTATTGAGATAATAGCGAATATATCGAAATAATAGAGTAATACAAGCGCTGCATTGAGAAAAAAAAACATCTACAACAAAACAGAAATTGAATTTTAATATTTAATTAAAAAAAAATTAAGAACAAATTCACATCGATATTCAAAATTTTTGTATTACAAATTATTTTATTAAACTATAAATTTTAGAAATTCTCCAAACTGTGTATGAAATCAATCAATGAAATTTATTGTGAAACTTCAATTTATTACAATTAATTTTATTTTTAATATGCGAAAAATTTTAAAAATAAAATTTTAGTTTTTTAAAGAATTAGGTGCTATTCAAATCCAGTTTACATGACATATTAGACGTCATTTTCTTACAAAGGAAATGTTCAGAGATATTACTTAGGTATGTATGCATGCATGTGTTTTGTAAGTAGATATAAATAATTATTATAATTAAGTGGTTTCACAACACAATATCAGCTTATAAATAATTAAATTTTGTTCCTTATATTTGAGTCACTCCAATTAATTTTCTTAAAATTGATTTGCAAACTTTAAAATGGTCGTTTTAAATCTTAAAACATTATAAATGACTTTGTTATTTTTTAATTTTTATTATTTAAATTTTGTATTTTTGGTTCTATTTAATTAAATTATAATTTAGTTTTAAGCAAATATTTAAAATTAATTATGTATTTTTAAGCACTTTATAATTAAATTCCAATGCAAAAATTCGGAATTTAAAATTTTCATAATTCAAGAAAAAAATTTTTCATACTCATACAAATATCCTTTCAAACTCGAATTTAATTATAAACTGATAATTAAGTCAAAAATAAAATTCAAGAAGGCATGATTCAAAATAAAATTCACAGCAAAATATTTGCATTTTGATTAATTCTTTTGTAGAATATATGTATATTTTATATACGTAGACATGTTTGTATGTACATAATTTAATATGTCACAATTCAGCTAGATATCGCATATGTATATATCTATGTATATATATATGTATGGATGTATACAAATGAAAGTTTTATCAAAAAATAATGTGATGCTTTTAGCAAATTTTATCTCTTTTTTTTTTAAATAACTGCGTTCTTTAACGAATATAAAATTTAACATTTTTATAAATTTAGATCAGAGGAATTAAGATGCCAAGTTAGGAGCTTGCATGAAAATCCCTAAAATGAACCCTAACTTTATAATTAAGCTATAATACAGTACTAATACATTATTCTTATGAGTTTAGTTTCTGAATTGCGTATTAATACCGTATTTCAGCGATTTTTGAAACCAGCTGAATTTAATTTAATTAATTGACAAGACAATTTCAAATTTGTGATCAATGACCCTTGAGTTTGTTTATTTCAAAATATAAAAAAAATATATACATACATATGTACGTATATTTTTTATATTTTAATTTCAAAAAATTTTAATATTTTAGCTGCAATAAAAAGTTCCAGCATTGTAATATATAAAATATATGCATGTATGTAGATATGTTAATAACTTAATTTTTATTCATTAAAATTATTATTTTGTACACTAAATATTTTGCATACATACCTCTGTCAAGTATAAATTTTCATTTCCACGATTGACAATTATAAATAAAATTGAAAACTTCCCGAATTAAAAATGGTTCTTAATTCCTGGTTTTTGTAAATTTTTTAAACATACATTTATTTACTTTCAAAATAATCAAAATAATTTTTTTAATTTTATTTTTCTTGATTGATAATATTGGGAATATTCATTCGAAAATTTTTATTATTTTCGAAAGGTACATAGGTACATGTGTACCATATTCTTATAATTTCATTAAATTTTTAAAAATTAATCATTTTGGTGAATTCAAATAAAATTAAAATTTAATTTCGGTGACAACTAGTCGAAATTAAAAAATTTTTCACTATTATAAATGTTTATAATAATAATTTTGTTTTTTAAATTTAAACAATTAATTAAAAGTCACAGTTTCCCAATAATTAATAAATAAATAATAAAAGTACAGAGCAGAGCGTGTTTAAACTTTAAACTGTTAAAAGTAAAATATCGTACTGAACTAGGCATATAATTGCTTCAACATTCCAGTCGATTATATTACAGAAAAATATATATACATATATGTATGTATAAAAGTTTATAAAAATTTCTTAGTTCATTTCATGCATGTACTATGATGTAGCACGTTATAAAATTTACATGCTCGATTAAAGCTATTGTGAATTAAGCTTTGTAAAGGAAAATATTGACATTAAATAAAATATGTACATATATTTATAATACATACAATATATTTTTAGAAACTATAGACATACGTATGTACAACAAATGTACTTGATTCCATCAAAACTATTCAACTGTGTAGATAATATTCTGTAATGTAGAATTTGTAGAACAAATTGTATGACATTTGAATTTTGTTTTATTTTTTTTTTGTATATAAGGAGACTAGGAGAAGAAAAGTGAGTGTAAACATATTTTAAAATTTTTTTATTCTCTGGTTTTAAAAATTTCATATTTACATACACATAAAAACGTTATCATTTTATCATTTGATTTGTGTTATTCACATTATTATTTTAATACACAGCGTTGCTTTTCCAATCAACCATTCTATATATCATTGCAAGGAATAAATTTATCTTATTTGATTTCTGCTTTTTTTAAAGTACATGCTTCTAAAAACATTGGAGAAGTAACCGTTATTTACTAACACTGTATAATATAAATAAAATGTACATACTGTCAATTTACATCATATTTTCCATATTTAACAAATAGAGAGTATTCAAAATTAAAAAAGAGAAAATTTTGTATTAAATATTAAGTTAAGTAGTTTTCTTTTCTTTTGATTTAATTTCTCTGAAAGTAACCATATACGAATTAAGAGAAATAAAACGATGTGGTAAAAATAAAAGACGAACCGTGAATATATATATGTATTTATAAAACTAGAATTTTCCTAAAGGAATTAAAAATTCGCCAAATCTAAAAAAAATCTTTAAAGTAAAGTGAAAATTTCCATTGATTCGACAAATTGGTAAAGTGTTATGTGCAATATTATACACATCAAAGCTAATTTTTTATTTTTAGGAAATAAACGCGTGTTAAATAATTTAGTATAAAATTGCATATTATCAGGAGAAATTTTATGCTATGTCCTTTTGATAGGTTAAAACTTTAGTAGTGCGTTAGGCTGAGAATTGTTTAATAAATACTCGTTAAATGTAAGAATTACTTTTAAAATCTGTTGATTGAAATTCTCTTCCATAATAAAGCTTTTTTTAAATCTACTTATTAAAGACAGATCGAACTTGTTGCAATCGACCTCAATAATCAAACCGTAAAACTACCAAAATAATTTGCCTTAAGCGATTTGATGTTATAATGACTAAACCCCTGCTAGACTTATCCTCAATGTTAGAAGACTTAATTTTCATACATACATTTTCATGTATACAAGGTTTGAAGATTCCCTGTATAAAATCTTCAAACCTTGTGTACTTAGCAAAATTATTTAAAGTCAAAAAACAATACACTTAAGAAATTAAAAACTCTTTAGTTCACAGTTTAGTTCAGCTGTCCTATTACAGTCTACTCTTATTAAATACGAATAATGTTCAAAAATATTTTTAAATTTACGCAAGGGTAATAGACACAAAATTCATATCAAGCATTGAGTAAAGTGAAGCTTTTGCAAGAATTAAAATAAATTAAATAATAAATTAAATCACATTCTTTTAAACATAAACAATTTTATTTCCATATCAAAATCTTCATACATCTATGTATTATGTATGTACATATTTCAATTAAAATTATTGTAGCCTAATATTTTAAAAATATTCTTTGGACAAACAATTTAATACATTTCTTTGTGATTTTAATTCTATATTATTTACTTAAGTTTTATGAAATACGTGATTTATAATCAATATATAAAAAAATTAGAAATAATTATCTATTTAAAATTAATATTAATCTAATTTAAAATCAAGTTAAAGAAAAAAATAAACACTTAAATTACGATTTTAAAGTTATAGTGCATCAATTTCTAGGAACCAGAACTCCGGACTAGAGAATGTCTCTTTGTATTCATCACGTTTAAAAAAAAAGATTATTGTTCTTTGATTGAATTTGATCGTATTCTCTTAACTAATGTGATCTTTCTATATTACAGCAAGTATACATGTTTATTACTTCTTAAATAGATATGCGGAAACATTTTCATACGTAGCAAAAGTGATCATACATGCAGGAACAACACGAGTTAAATTTGGTTTAAGTCCTTTATAAAATCCACGTCCGCCTTCATATCTGAAATAAAATGAAAAAACAAAATGCGACACTATTAATAGAATTCATCCAAAATAAATTGCGCTTACCTTAAGTTTTGTAACGAATTTTTATTCTAATTTTATATAGATAGAAAATTGAATCGATATATTTCATAGCAAAAAGATTCTTCCCACAAAAAATATACAAGCATTTTTGTTTTTTATATATATTTTTTTTGAGGATTTTACTGAAAAATCACATTCTCACTAATTTTACAATATAAATTTAATTCATTTGAATTTTTTTGTAATGATTAGTTATATACAACACTTAAACTGTTGTTTGCATTCGATAAATTTCTTCCATTGTTTCTTTATCATGTGTTTTCAACTTGGGCATACTACTTAAGTTATCGTAAGCCAAGGAAAATGATGAAAACAATAAACTTCTTTATTTTCTTTTATATTTTATGAATTCCATAATTGAAAAATTCGCCATATGTTGAACTTATGCTGATGAAGGTATAAACTCTATTTAATTCATACTTTGTTACAAATTATTTAAAAGTAAAAGAAAACATTTTCAATTTAAGTATTTATTTAAAATGAATAATAAATCACAAATCAAATTTTAAACAAAAATATTTTCTAAAATAGGTCGTATTATATAATATGAAAATATTTTCTTGAACTTAACAATTTGTAACATTTTTAAAATGAAAAAAAAAATCAATTTTATCATCCGTTAATTCAATATTATCTTTTTCATAACTTGTATTATTTATAAATAATTAATTTAAGTACTTAAAAATTATATCTTTTTGTAGTGTACAGTTGAATAACATACATTTTAAAAATATTTTATTAGTACATGCAATTATAAATTAAAATTTCTTTAAATATACATTTATATTATTTGTGAAGATCTCAATGTTTTTTTTCTTTTTTTGTTCCTCCATAGTCTTAATTACAAATCTAAAATTTATTTGTTTCTATTTCCAATTTTACAAATTTGAGACCTTTAAAGCTCTTCTTATTTAAAAATTTAGTGATTGAAAATTTTTTTTCATGTTTTTTCTTTTTAATTATTTTTATATTATACATATATTGGTGATTTTAAATCATTAGCGGTATATCTTTTATTGAAAAGAATCTGTTTGCTAAGTAAGTTTAAGTATAATAAGTAAAATATAAAAATTAAAATTCATTTCAACTAACATAAAACTAATATTTATAAATAAAGGGATAAAAAAATTAAATAAATTAAATTTTGAATTTCTATTTGTCTTTGTCTTGTTCTTAAAAGGATTCTTGTTGCGGGGATTTGAATGATTTTTCTACTTAATGCTATCGCATATATAATATGGAAACTATATAACAATTTGTTAAATAAAATCATATTTTCTTTTTTTGAGAGAGAGAGATTATAGATTAACTTATATTTATTCGTGCATTTTTTAATCATTAACTAAATTTAAATTTTTTTGTTAGCCAGGCCAAGTTAGTTGTAAAAAGAAAATATACAATGCATTTAAACTAAACATTTTCTAGTTAAACATAGTTAAAAGGTCTTCTAGTTAAAAGGCTTTTGATTAGGAATTTCGCTATGCTATAAGCTATTTTTGGAAATCATACTTTGTGTCAAGAAACGTAGACTAAAAACCCTCTATAATTTTAGACTATCAAATTAATTCAGTATTTTTATATTGAAATACGTACAAAAATAATTATTGCTTATAATATAATTAAAAAAAATTTGGTTTATAAAATCTTATGCGAAAATCATATTAGACCAATTTAAACTATTTATGTTATGCCTGGCAATTTCATTAGATTTTTAAATATTATTGTCTTTTTACATCAGTTTTTACTTTACTTGTATGTTGCCATAATTGATAATAAAAAAAAATTTTTATGAAAATATAGCTAATTCAAAATTAAATTAAAAAAATAAAGGTAAATATGTATGTATATACAAGAACATATATGAATTAATAATTGACATTCATGAATAAAATAATTTCTATATACATATTTTATTTAATGTAATTAAAATTTTAATATTATGTAAATTTTGTCTTTTCAATGAGATTTCAATTTTTAGTTTAGAAAAACTGATAATTTGAATTTTTATTGTTTAAACATATTTTTTGTTTATACTTTGCAATTCACACATAATTACATAATGATGACGGGTTCTGATCTTCTAAAAAATGAATATATCGGAAAATTTTACGTTTTTACTGAAACTGAATCTTTTTATCACAATTTTTTATAGTAATTTTTCTTTATAATCGTTTATTATTCCCTCTCTTTTTATTTACATACCAAATTTTTAAGTAAATATATTTTTTCAAATGTAGCGCAAAAATATTCAATCTTTATTTATCAGCTACATGTTCAATAATATTTAATAAGTTATTTTTGGATTTCATTAGGCATATTAATAAATTGCAATAATTGTTGTGCTAATAGGTCAAGTGAATGATAATTATTAAGTTCGTTTTAACAAAATTATCATAAAGCTTATTATAAAATATTAAGTTTCTTATTTACATACATATTAACATCAAAAGAAATTTTGTTATAATTTCAAATATCAATAGAAATTTATATTTTATATCTTATTTATGTAGAAAAATTTTGATTCCGTGTGACAATCAATATTAATTAATTTAGGGTAACTAAAAGCTGCGCTAACCTTTAGGAAAATCCAATTGATTTTAAAATTGTCTTAAAGTTACTTCATCAGAAAAATTGTATGTATTTTTCCAATTCAAATTAGTAGAAAATAAGAGTTTAATAGATAATTGAATTTAATTTTCTACATGCTCTTAATGATATCAAAAATTCGAATTAAAGTGCTACTAATATGACTTTCTAAGTTTTTCCTTTAATCGAATTTGCATAAATGTGAATCTATTCTTAACATAATTCATTCGTTCTCAATATAAAATAACTCCCAATCTTCATGCAAAAAAAAAAAAAAATTCACAAAAAAAAAATAAATATCTTCTTCATGTTTTATGATCGGTTCTGTTGCTTAAAAATATTATACAGCTATAAATATTTGTGAAACGTTACATGTTTCATGTACACATACGTATTATATTTAAATATATTATGTATGCATTCCATATAGCTAATTTCATTTCTACATAAACAATATTGACATATTTATACATTTATATCTTAGATAACATCTGTACATTTATATAATTATAAAATATTGTAATGTAATATATTATAATTAAAACATGTGATAAACATTATAATTGTACTTTGCTATACATATATATATATATATATATATATACATATGCATATACATATTTGTATTCATAAAAACTAATAAAATCTACATACATATATATATATATACACATAATCACATCATGTATGCTTATATTCTTTCTATTTATGTTTTCATATTTAATTAGTTAACTTCTCCCAAATTAGCATAACAAGACAAATATTTGGTGTAACATGAACTAGATATGGTACTAGACCCTTATAAAAACCAGGCATACGTTCATACCTCCAAGTTTGCTTAATGCAATCCCAAGTTCCTTTATAATTATGATGGTGATCTTGCAAACGCGCACGTATTACTTGATAAGGATAAGTTGCTGCTGCTGCAATTAATTTTGAAATTGCTGCGAAAATTAAATACTCTGAAGTTGCCTAAAAATTACAAATATTTAATTAGCAATATTTATTATTTCAAAAAAAATAACTTAGTTAAATAGTCTTTATCAAATAAGATTCAATAAACTTTTCTATAATAATTTAATTAGAAAAAAAAATATTTAATTATATTTGCTCAAAATGTTTACATCTTCTTTAATTTTTTAATTATCGTGACCCGAAAGTTCAATATTAATATCACAATAATTCTTATCATGGAAACATGACGTCAAAACTTTTTGGCGATAATGTTAATGACGCTTTCAATTGACTTTTATCAACTATAATGTTTTTTCTAAATATATAATATTAGATTATGTAATTTAGAGGCTCGTCTTAAAGTTTCAAATAACTTTAGATCATGGATATAATTTTAGAATACAAATAAATTATAAAAATAAACTACAATCATTCTTCATTATCTTAACTATTTAAACAAATAAGCCAATATCTACAATATTTCGCAGAAAAGTACAAATATCATAGAAAAACAAAATCAAAAATTATGAATATTGAAGTAAACATTAAAGCAAAATATTTATTTATTTAATTTTTTATTTATTTAAAAATTTTATTATATTTTTATTGTAAGTATTGCTTAGTTGCAGTTTAACTTACCAACTTAGTATCAATTGGCAATTTTCTATAATTATTATAGTAATTTTTCATTTCTTCATATGTCATAAATTGTAGCGCACCATGCGAAACACCAAACATTCCAGGTACAAAACCCTTAGTTGAAAAAAAAATAAAGTAAAAAGCATTTCAAAAAAACAAATATATCAAAGTTTTTGAATAAATATTACTCTATACAATCCTCTGACACCTTCTTGCTTATAAATTTTTTTTAAAGCATCAATCATTCCTCTATATCGCATTGAAGCAGCCATATTACTCTCACTCTCATATTGTAAACATAATCGTGTTTTCACAACCCAAATTGGATTTGTCATCATTAGAGTTAGGACACCAGCTTGTGATGCAGCTAACATATGCAATGCTGGTCCAAGTGGAGTAGTTGCATTGCCACCCTGAATCCATGTTTTTATTGTGTTATAACTAAAAATTAAACAAAGCCATGCATTTATTTTCTTTGTAAGTTTTTTTTCGAATTATTATTTATATACTAACAACATAAAATAAAATCCCCACGCACTTCCAGAACCCCAAACATTCGGTGTTACACCTTTATACAACCCTTTTAAGCCTTCCTGACGAAAAATCGTTGTAAATGCGCTTCCTAAGCCTCGATATTGTGGAATTGTAGTTGTTCTGCCATCATTTACTACAAATATAAAGAAAGAGTGTACATGAATGATAATTCAAAGTTTATTTGAATTGAATCAAAGAATAAAAAATACATAATAAAGATTAATTATTAATACTGCTACAAATATTTTTAAATTCTATGTTATTTAAATAAATATTACTATTTTTATTTTACACAGAATAAGTAAAATAAACAAAATTCCTAAAAATAACATTTTATAAATATTTACAAACCAGAATATAATCATATACATACATAAAAGTGAAGAAGAAAGAGGATGTTTTTTGCAAGTTAAATAGGAAATTTTACCACAATGCTTAATTAATTAATATTTATTACATCTAGAAAATTGAATATTAAAAATATTTTAAAACAAAATTTAAATGCAAGGAGACTTATGAAGCAATCTGATTGAATTAAAATCTGATAATATGATTTTAATATGAACTAATTGAATATGATGTAAGTTTTATTAATAAGTATAGATGATGATGACTCAAATTTCAAATGAAACTATGTTTGTAAGTTAAAGACATACATTTTACCTACATATGGTTTAAAAGACTATAAATAAAAAACCAAAATGTATCAACATCGAAAGTACCTACCTACATCAAAATTTAATCATATCCCACAGGCACATATGCAAAGAAAAGAAAATCTAATAACCAACTTAAAACTAAATGCGTCATTTCAACGTCAGAATTTACAAAAAGAAAACGTAAATAACAACAAAATACTAAATTTAATATACTAATTTTAATTTGAATATACTTATATTTTTTTTGGAAATATGCAAACTAACATAAATTTGTTGGTATTTTAATGGGATGCCGTCAATTTTTTTTTTTGTTTTTTAATTTAATAAAACCCGTGAATAGAAAATTTTTTGAAGATTTTAATTAAGTATATTTTTGATTCTTTTATATTAATTAAAATATAGGTATGCATATATAAAGTATATATATATAAATAATATGCATATAATATACATACTTAATTATAAAAATTTAAATTATGACCTTGAACTTTAAACATGTAATGATCAGGTGATGATAAGAAATAAAATTTACAAAAATATTTTTGGTTTTCAATTGAAATATTTAAATGCAGTAATTAATAATAATATAAATGTAATATTCAAACTTAATAAAATAATAATTATTTATTGGTGTTAGATATTTGTAATAAAAAAAATTTGCTTGCACGCAAACTTCTATTATCTACAACATTATAGCTCAGAATTTACGGTATCATATAAGTATGTATACACATATTAAATAAATTTCAAAGAAGTACGTATGTTTCCTCTATAAAATTATAGATAAACACTCTATATTTAGACAAATAGACAAATTCAATCGAAATCGGACCACAACAATATTAGAAATGGGAATCATGCGATAAAATGTATAAGAAATATTTTTTAAATAATTCTTTTATTTACTAAAATTATTTATTTTATGCCTTAAAATAATTATTATTAGAAGTAACTGTAATAGTTTCAGTTCCTAATTCCTATCCAAATTTCTAATTTAACATATACGCTGGAAGTTTTTTTTGTTACTTTGATAAGCTTATATAATACCTAAACAATTTTAAGCTTCATCATGATAATGCTTTATCAAAGTGGTTTTTTTTTGAGAATAAAAACATTTTTTATACAAAAGCTTTAATAGTTAATTTTAGCTAATCACTTTTATTAGTAAGTGAGCATGCAAAAAAGAATTTTGTTTAAAAAAATTTTAAAGATCTGTTTTTATTTTTCTATGTATAAAAATAATATTTTTCAACAAGTTTAGTTGTCTGATCTTGGACTATAATGAAATATATTTTAAATATAAAATAGAAAGAGTTGGTTTAATGGGCCAAGGCAATGATTAGTGTGTTGCTCTCTATTTTTTACTCAATGCGTAAATAACATTATGAAGTTAAAGCATAAGTTGTAAATTTTCTTTTGTAAGGATCTCCTTTATTACCAATAAACTCCTTGTGTTTAATATTCTAACTTCTATGTGCTTAATATGCATTTATAGTTATCCAAGTTTATGATTTCAATATTCGTGTCTTATGATGTATTAAATAAATTTGTTTATAATTGCATATTCAAGTTTGTTTATAGAAATATTTTCCTTACATTTTTTATTTGCTTTCATTCAATGTAATTTTATTGCATTTTATACTTAAGCCAATAGCTACGTATATCTACATATATTAATTCCAACATAAATAAAACTTGCTCTTTGTTTGTAAATATTTACATGGATAGAAAATTATCGGCTACACAATAATATAATGGAAAAATACCAGAAAATTTAATCAAACTAAACACTTAGTTTAGTGCAAGTTTTAAAATCAAATTCCGTTTATAAATTATATTTATTGAATTGAGGCCAGTAATGATAAAACAAAGAAATATGTAGGTAGGTATGTAAGTATGAATCTATAAAAGAGAACTTTCAAAATTATATAGTTGAATGGTTTGGTAATTTTATATGACCTTAATCTAAAAAAAAAAATGTTAGAAAGAAAAATCAATTTCTAAATAAACTAATAAGGTAGGTGAATTATGTGTGTAATATTCCAAGAATTTATTTTTTTTTTTATTATTACTTACCAGCAAAACGTATTTTTATTAAATCTAATGGATGTAAAATTAATGTTGAGGCAACACCACCCGAAATGCCAGCAATTAAATGCTCATATTTAACATGTGCTAAAACATTAAACTTTTTATTTTTATTGCCATTATTTTTTGTTGAACCAGCAACAGCTGACGGAGATGATGACGGTGGTGATGATGACGATGATATTCCAGTACCTGTACTTGATGTTTGAATAGGTGTAGTTGTAGATGTAGTTGATGTTGCTGCTGTTGTTGTTGCAACTACTGTAGCAGCAGCGGCGGTAACAACATTAGCTTTTGATCCATTGGAATTAACTTTATGATTCATTGATGATGCCATTTAATTTTTTTTTTTGCTTGATATAAGTATTTTTTTGAAACTAGTTTTATTGTGCCTTTAATAGAGGTCTTGTAAAAATTGTTGCGAATTGTTTTTTTGGTTTTTTGTTTTTATTTTATACTTTTAACCTTTGTTCTAAAATAATTTTTTTTTTTTGTATAATTGAACACAATGCAGAAATATTTTATGGAAGTGTCTGTGTTCAACTCGTTTTCATTTAATATTTCGTTTTTTGGTTTTTATGTTTTACTTTTATAAAATGCTAGGGATTTTTTCTTTTTCTGGTCTAGGACTACAATTTACTAAAAATACTCATTGAATTTTTTCATTATATCTCTTTAAAATTTATTCTATAAAATTTAACACTATAAAATTTTTATTGAATCAAATGAATTCTTTATTTGCTGCAAAAACAAATTTTAGGGAAATATTATTCCAACTTTTATTTAATTTAATTCTAAAATTCGTTTGACATGTAGTTCTAGTTTTAAACATTTTAAAATTTTTATTTAATTTTTCGCTTTATTTGCTTGAATTTTTAAATCAAATATTTTTTTCTATAAAAAACAACAAGTCCTTTCTTTTTTCTTTTTTGCTTTTTCTTTTACTTATCAGTAAATTTTATAAAATTCTTATGTAATTTTTTTGATTAGTGAACAAAATAAATCAAAGATTTGCGGCACTATAATTACTTTAAAACTTTTATTAAATTAAAATTAAATCACAAAACGATTGAATTTGAAAACTCAATTTTTTTTACTTTATTTTTATATTCAATAAAACTTGAAACAGAAAGAAACACATTTATTTTATGATTTTCTGATGAAATACTTTGGTGTCAGCCAAGTCAACTTTCCCAAACGAAAGAAAAACTAGAAATGAAAATGACATTTGGAAATTTTGGGAAAGAAATAATGAATTTCTTTCTATTCTTATGACGTTTGCCCCCTTTGCCAGTAGCTGTGTTTATACTGGTGCTATTCAAATTTTCAAATACGCATTTGACAATTTGTCAAGAAAGTTTATACCAGTACAAAAGCAGGTTCTTGTAACTTAAATAGAGCAAAATATTTACTATCGAGATTAAATATTTTATCGAAAAAAAATCTATACGTAGTTCAGTTTATAAATTTTAACAGAATATTCTTATAGAAATGGCAATTTATATGTCAACTTCACTTATGCAGATATACATATTTTACAAATGCTCTTACAAATATGGTTTTTATATCCAACTGGCAAGCACATTAAAAATTCTGTTGAAACACTTTAAAATTATTAAAGAACGAGCATATTTGTCGCACAATAGTAAATTTTTAATATGAAAAACGTACCGTCAAGTGACAAATTGATAAAAATATTTCACTATTTTATTATTTTTTTAGTTGTTATCAGTACATTCGAAATGTACTAAACATTGTGCAAAAGAATATTGTGAATCGGAAATGCTTTTAGTTTGGCAGTTCACCACCACCATCAGTTTCTAATGTCAATAGAATATCTTTTGATATATAGATGTCGCTTCAATATTGAAAATTGAAAGAGGTTAACTGTTAATCATTTTTAAAAATTTTATAGGTAAGAGTACAGTTTTTATTCTCTCAAATTTGGGTTATTCTTAATTTTCGCATTCAATAACTGGGCTCCTGTGATAGCTGACCATATCAAAAAAATGCTGTAATAATATTAAATATTTGTTATAAAATTATAACATAAATAGCAACTTCAAAATTTTAAAAATAAATTTATTATTTTATCATATTTACAATTTTTCGTATTTTTGTTTATTGATATACATAACTACTTATATATATTCATACGTATTACACATTTATAGATGAATATTTCAAAATATCATTTTGAAAACATTTAACTGATCTTTTAATTCATGTTTTTAAAATTTTATAGTGAAGAAAAAGAACTTTAAAAAAATAAATTTTGAGTACTTTAAATAAAAGCTTTTAATTCACGTTCGAGGAAACGCAATATGGAAAATATCATGAACAATTTTAGAAATACGTACTTTATATGCAATTCCTTTTAATTTATATTTAGTTAATAAAGAATCGATTTTGTAGAATGAAAATGTTATATTGAAAAGGAATTTTGTATTGTGTTTAATTTTAGGGTACAATTTGAATTTCACAGTAAAATAATGTGCCGTAGCAAATAAGGTATTCTGTAGGCACAATATGTATTGATTACTCGACCCACTAACTTCAAGCCGTGATTGATATTTTTAAAGTCGAAACATATTTGTAGCCAAATTTATTTTTAATTTTCAACTTCCATTATTTTAAAAATTTTTTGATTTATAATTAAAATTTACAATGCTGTTTTTTAACTTATTTTAACTAAAGTATTTATAATGAATATTTATATTTTATCTACATGTTAATATTAACTTATTTTTAGTTTAATAGTAAATTTAAAATTTTCTAGCTAGTTAAAGCAGTATTACTTAATAATATACCAATTATTACTTTTTTATGCTAAATATAATTTTTATAAAACATAAGATTTACATATATTTAGGTTTAAAATCAGATAAAGCTAGAAGCGTGCTCAAATCTTATATTCAAAGTTTGATTTAACTGCTAAATTCTAATAGTAATAGTAAAAATAAACTTTTCAACAACATTTTCTTTTTATAAAAATTATTTTACAATTAGAAATAAACAAAAATTTTCTTCTTCAAATGTACATACACAAAAAGTGCCCTTATATCCTGCCTTATCAAATTACAATTAAAACTATGATAAAATTCTTAATCTATCATTAATTAGAATCGTTGTAATTGCTAAATATCCTAATGTTATAATACAATAATTTTCATTTCTACTTAATAATATTAAATCGATAGCATTACTGGAACCATTACAGCAATTAATTGCATGCTGTACCACTCTTGGATAATAATCGTTCCAAAATTGTATACCACGAAAATTCATATCATCTGTCATATTAAATGCACGATCTATAACTAATATTTTTTGTTCATCAAATGTATATTTGTCCCATTTGATGTATACACCTACTTTTGTAGGATCACTAAATTTTGCAAAATTAGCCCATAATGTCATCACTAAATCAGAATTTCTTTTATCCGTAATATTCCATTTATTATAACCATCTTTATCTGACCAAAATGGTACACCCCATACAAATAATAAATCAAAATTATGCGGTACACCAACCCAATCCGATAATTCCTTTTTTGCAACTTCTGTTTCTGGTCTTATATCAAAACGATAAACGTATGTCATATTAAATTTACTCATTTGGTTTGCTAACAATATTGATGGTGCAACATATTTTCTGTCTGTATAAAAACTAACTAACATTCTACGTAATTTTTCACCATTCTTTATTGGTGGATATGGCATATATGAATATTTAACAGCATCCAAAACAATTTGTAAGTTTCCGCATAATGATTCATTACTTTCTAAATGACCAAGATCATTTAATACAGCGTCATTTAACATTGTATCATAAATTTCTTGTGTAATACCCGTTTCCATCATGTCTCCAACAATAATATCAAGTACATCTTCCATATTTGTATAACCAATTAACAATGGAATTTCTCTAACCATACCGCGTTCAACTAAAACTCTTGGATAATCAGGTATAAATGGACTTGATGCATTATTTAAACCATCATCAATTACTGGTCCCCATTCAAGATAATATGGTATATTTTCAATTAAAAGTTTTGCATCCAATCTACGAAGACATTCTATTAATTTGGAAGTAGGTCGACGAACACATCCAAAGGGATAAATGATTGTATCAATTGATGAAACATAAAAATTTGGAGGGTAAACTGCACCATCAAATAAACTACTCCCTGACATCATTATTGCTCGATGAAATGTACCTTAAATATATCGAAAATATAAAATTTTAGGCATTCGAAAAATTATAAAAATTGTGTAATTTATAAATGTTAAGTTCATTTTAAGTTTTAATTGATTACGTGTTATGAGTGTCAAATACTAGGTCAATCATAAACTATAATTTTCACTATAAACGTAAAGGTCCATGTGTAAAATATAATCTGATGCCATTAGGTGAGGTGACCAAAATGCCAATAAAACTCGTTACCATTCTTAAGCAAATTTGAAAATATCAATGAAAATATTGTTCTGCCGCAATTGCTTTTAATAAGTACTCAAAAGAAAACAGCATGTTAATTTTAAAAAAGTGCTGTGCAATTGATTTGAAATATGTAGACCTATATATTGCGGCATTATAATTGTTTATTTAATTTGCAGGTATCCATTTCGTGAAAAAATATGCAAAAATTTGAAATTATACTTTATATGCATGTGGTTCATCACTGTATAATCAACATTACGAGTATACAATAATTAATTGATGTGATTTTGGAATGCGTGGTACATAATTAAGAACCGGATCTGCTTTTTTTAATATTACATATTTAAGAATTGGTTTATTGCAATAAATTTTTATGAGTTTTATTTGAAATTTAAATAATTCATTATTATATAAAATTTTACAATCCAATTTTAATAAGTATGTAAAATATCCAAGAATGTTATCGCGTGCATTTAAAAAAAAACTCAAAAGTATTTCACAAAATAATTAAATATTTTGCATACTACAATATCCATAATATTTCTTATTTACATACTAAATTGAATATTTTGTCCTTGTTTCGAAAGTATTGTTAAATTTCTTAAAATAATTTAAAATTACTTTGAATTTCCATAAAATGATTGTTTAATAAATTCAATATCCTTGAAATATTTGTTTTTCATAATAATATACTTAGTATATATACATATATTTATGTATGTGTACATAGGTATTTTTCTTTTTATCAAATTACTTACCAGCTGACCAGTCACCAGAAGTTAAATGTAAACCAACACTTATTGAACCAGAGCCATGACCCATTAATGTTATTGAATTTTCATTACCATTAAATAATTTTATATTCTTTTTTATCCATAATAATGCTGCTGCTTGATCCATTAAACCATAATTACCGGCAGCTTCACCATCACCAGTTGTAAAAAATCCAAATATACTCAAACGGTATGCCACAGTTACAACAACAACTTTTTGTTTAAAAACTAATTGAAATGGATCTAAATCAGCTGCACTTCCCGATGAAAAATCACCAGAATGTAACCAAACGATAACAGCGAATCCTTCCATTGGTGGTTCAACTAAAATTATAATTTTAAAAATAATTTAAATAAATGCTTAAAATTTTGCTTAGAATAATTTAATTTTGTTGAAGTAGCATAATTGTAGTTTAGAATAATGTATGTATATATAAGTATATTCATTGCCAAATAAATTATAGTCGACATTATCTCTTGCGACATTACAATTAACATTACTAGGTGACAGGTTAACAATACTAGAGGATATACTCTGACACTTGTTGACATTACTACAAAATCCAGTAATTAACGCCTACAGACTGACTCGATGTAGTGATACAGGTATTACTACAAATCTAATTAATCAAATAAATTTCATTTTAAAAAATTTTGTGTATTGGTTCCCTTGTATTTAAGTTTCGTGTCGCATTCAACATTGATTCTTTTCAAGTAATTAAATGCAAATTTGTTTCCCATTAAATATTGTGTGGTTCTTCTGTCCAATTAAATACAAAATTTAAAAAAAAAAAATTAATAATTCATGAAAATTATTGCTATAAATGTTGATCATTTCGTTGAAAAATAATAAGTAGAAATTTTTGAATTAAATTAAAGTTTAAGTTATGAACTACAATACATTGTTGTATGAAGTTAACAGTCATACACTCGAAAAATATGTGTCATTAATATTTATGTATTAATCTTTTAATTTTGACTTAAATATTTGCATACATGCATATTAAACATTAATTAGTTATTAAAGTCTGAGGAAAATTACTCAAAAGGCAATTAAAATATGTATGAGAGTATTTTCCTGTCAGTTGAATGTGTACTCGAAAGGAAAATTACAAAAAATTTAACTGGAAGTGTCAAAAAATTATGATGTAGAGTAAAGAAGAGTGTGAGAAAATTTCTCATATGTATGTATATAAAATGTAGAAATAGAAAAATTTTCTTCAAGTTTTTTTCCTCTATAAAATTATCAGTTATAACACTTAATATAAAATGACATATAATAATTAATTATGAATTTACTAAAGGATAAAGGATCTCACCACATAAACAGAATTAATTTTTGAAGAAAATTTATTCACTAAATTCCTCTAAACCTATTGTAAATTCCTCTTTAATAACAGCTGAATGTAGCAAAACAATTTCAAAATTTCACTATAATAAATTTCTTTAAACTTTGTGAAGTTAAAAAATACTTAAAAACTATAAAGAAGCGAAATTCAAAAAACTTGGTCAACCATTAATTAATTCAAGACGGAAATTTCTGAAAAGAGAAAAAATATCCTATATACTTTCATTTAGGTATAAAAATTTTTTTTTTATCCTTTCCGCTATTTGCCATTAGGAAGGAAGTTTAACGGCGGAAATTGTTTAGTAAAAGTTCGTTAAGCTTTTAAAAATTTAAAGACTAGACTATAGAAATAAAAAGAAAAAGAAAAATGAGAAATGGAAATGGTAAATCATTTTTATATAAGACTGAATGAGAAATTTATGCAGTTTGTTGCCTACACACACAATAGGAAATTTTGAAATTTTTTTTCTTACAGTCCTCAAAACTTGTGAGTGTAATAAATATATACAAAGATATATACGTTGTGTGAAACATTTGAACTTTGAAAAGAAGTAGCTGTTAATAATGAGTACTTTTTTTGTATAATTTTATGTTGTTTATTGCATATACGTAAGGCGTTTAGTACATTTTCGTCATGATACGCTGAAAATCAACTAAGATTGAAGGAATATGCATTTAAGTAAATTTCTGTTTCCTTCCCTACTCAAAAAGGTACATGATTATTCTTATTTTACTTGTTAATTTATACTAGAATCTCTATATTTTGACTAAAATACTTCCAAAATTGATCTCAAGAATAGGAAATAGTTCGATTAAATACATACTGCTAAATATAAAATTTAATATAATTGTATATTACAAAAGGAAAGAATCCTGAACAGACTTAATCTAAATTATAATTAAAATATCAACAAATAAAGGAATAAATCTATGCGATAAAAGATAAGTGTGGTAAATAGTAACCAAACTATAAAATACTATTTTGAATCTTATATCTTATTATACTAAAATTCAAATAAATAAAATTAAAGAAAATACTGTATACAATATAAATTTGTATATGGTTTGGTATAAGTAAAACTGTGTTCTGTTATACATATATATTATTATAAATGCACATATACCTTACTCGAAATTATTTGTTATATTTTCAAGTGACTACCAACCGCACACAACAAAAAAATGTCAAATAACAATAAAACACTCACGCACATTTATTGAACAAAAATTCTTAATTTCTATACAAGCTTTCATGGGATTATTGTGAATGGTTTTATACATTGAAAGAACGTTCAAAAAATATATATTGTAAATTGATAATATGAGTATATGTATGCATCTGTATGTAAATGCTGAATTCGTTGCCTGGTATAAAAATGAGTTTGATTTTGAATTACGATGAAAAATCCATTTCAATTTTTGATATCATAATTTGCAATCAATGTTTTTTATACATAGATTTTTTGTTTTGATTTTTGTATACACACTTATGCACGAGTACTCTTATGCGTATTCCAAAAGTACCATACCTATACTCTAACTATTTTGTACCTCTTTTTTGCCACAAATTTTGTGCTTGAAATACCGCAAAACATGTTTTATGGAATTGTAGAAGTTTTTTTTTATACAACAATAATTTATCAATATTCAATTGGCCTAAATTCCAATACTTTAATTCTTATTCTATGCAATTAATCAATGCAAAAAATTTTTGTTAAAAATTCTATCAGAAACTTTGAAAATCATAAAAGGACTAATTAAAGTTTTTTTAAACATTTTCACAATTCAATTAATATATGTAGGTGTAATATAGAAGACCTCCATTCATGTAAGCGTTAGCCATTTTTTAACAGACACTTATTGTATTTCATATTATTTATCTCTACGTTATTGAACTTTTATCAATTGAATGAAAATTCCATTAAAGGGCTGTTTTGTGTTATTTAATTTATGGGCATGTAAAAATTTAATTTAGCAATAAAAAAAAGTTTTGTTCGCCTTTTCTATGTTTTCAAAATCGATTTTCTAACTTTTACACACCAACATTTACAAATTAAAAAACAGAAAGTTAATTAATTTCAATTGAAGTACTTTTTACTCTAATCGCTTTAAATGTTTAAGCTGTTTATTGAAATTTTCTTTTTTTTAGGTATTTTTACATAAGTTTTGATTTGCTATCAAAATTTCATTCGAAATTATTACAGCAAGGTGTAAAATTAGAGAAAACAATATGTTTTTTGGTGTTACTTTGTAGTTGGCGCTGCCAGAAAATTAGATTATGACAAATTTTTAAAATTAACTACAGCAAGAGACCATACAAGAGACTGAAGTAGAATGGGTAAGAAAATTTTGAATCTATTTTAGAAAAATGAATTGTATGAAACTGATTACATAGAAGAACACTTGAAAAACAGATGGAGACTCTTAAGTCAAAACTCGGACAGAGAATTTTTCTCAGTTATTACAAAAGAAAAATTCGTTTCTATATGTTCTATTATATGTGACTTATAAAGTACTAAAAAATTTATCAATAATTTTTATCATTTAAATTTTCTTCGGAAACTTCAACAAAAAGTTTTGTTCTGCTTCTTTCCTTCAAATTAACTGAAAATATTCCGATTCTGTTCATAATGGAATATAATTTCTCTTCATTTAAACTTAAGCACATCTAATTAACGGATAAAAAAAGTTATTTCAAAAATTAATCCTCGATTATTACAATAAATTGTCCTTGTTAGAAATATCCTATTTTAAATAGGTGTCGTGAAAAGTCAAGTTCAAAATCCTATTTCTCAATTTAATTAAAAACCATTAATTCCTTTAAATATTTAGGAAATTGTTATCGTTTCATTATGATTACTTTCACAGTATATTCCCGGACAACTGTAATACCCATATGTAAATACAAAACTACAGTTATTTCTACATACGATTCAGAACGAACTAAATAAAAAATTAAATCAATATGAAAATTAAAAAAAAATTTAGCATTATTGTTTCTTATAAATATTATACTTATACTTTTATTCTGAAAGTACCTGTAGGTACTTATAAATACTTTCATAGGTATGTATGTATATAATTTAAATATAAGTATATGAAAATGTCAAATGAATAATTTCTTCTTTATTTATATAATTTTAGTGATTGTTAACAAAGTTAGACCCTAAAACTTGAAATCCAAATAGAGAAAAAAAAAATTAAACTTCCTTTTTCTTAGTTTCCCTTCTAAACAAAAAAAAAAGTCAGGTGGCAAGTATATGTTACTAACATTTGAACTTCTCACATGTTACGCTTAAGTTTTTTTTTAACGATTTGCGGAAATAACAATGATGACTACTTTTAGTATTAGATTGACGTAATTTGATTAATATACATATATTTCATATATACATACAAACATATAAATGTACACATAACACAAGACAACATCTCTATACATACACATACGTAGATACATTAAAAATTAAGTTTTATAAAGCTGAGAAAAAATAAAAAAATTTTGATTTAATCAAAAGGTCATTTAAACTGTGAGAATACAAATGGGGGCATTAAATTAAGGGGAAAATTATAATTTATTGTAGAAAAATAAATAATTGAGTAACACTACTGTTATGATGTATTTTTTTAGATTCTTATAATTGTCAAAACAAAGAAAAATTTAAAACATAGGTTATTTTAGCAAATGATTAATATATTTTTCATTAATATACGTATTGAAAATTTTTATTAATAATATTAGATTTGATGGTTTTAAATTTAAACACATGCTGTGATTAATAGTGCAGAATAAGAGTGTACAAATAGTAAAGCAAAAACACAACTTAGAATAATTAAGTGTAAAAACTGAACTAAAGCGGTGTTAACGGCAACGGCGGACGATTTCCGTAGTTAAAACATGGAGCAACAGCAGAACGACAAAGTCAACTGTGCAGTATTTTGTATATTCATTTTTGAAATAAATCTTATTCTGTTT